TTCAATATTCCTATTTATTTTCTCTTCCTTCTTTTTCTCCTGTTTCTTTATATTTATCCTATTTTTCTTCTCATTCTCATTTTATTTTCTCTCCCTTTTCTCTCCTTCTCTCTTTTTCTGCTTTTTCTTTTTTTCTGTTATCTTTCTTTTTTTCCACTTTCTTTTTTTTTTCCTGTTTTCTTTTCACTTTTTCTTTCTTTCACCTTTTCTTCCTTTTTTTCTGAGCACTTTTTTCCTGTTTCTTTTTTCTTCTCTCACTATTATATCCTTTTATTTTACTGGCAGTTTTCTTTTTCTTTTTTTGCTTTGCTTTTCTTTTCTCTTTTTCTTGATTCTTAATTTTCTTTTTTTCCTTTTCTATATTTCTTTTATATTTTTTTTCTTTTCTTTTTCTTTCTGTTAAACCTTTTCTTTTTCTAGTCTTTTTTTTTTTGTTTTTAGCTTTTCTTTCCTCTTTTCATTACTTTTCTCCTCTTTTTTCTTACCTTCTTTCTTCTTTTCTGTTTCTTTTCCTTCCTTTTCTGTTTCTGTTCTATTTTTTTTTTTTTTTTTTTCTTTTCCTCTCATCTTTTTAATTTTTATCTTTCATCTGATTCTTTTCTCTTTTTCCTTTCTTTCTCCTTTACTTTCTTTCTTTACTCTTTTCACTGTTTCCTTTTTTCTTTTCAGTCATCATAATTTTGCTCTTTTTCTTCTTTTCTTTCTTTTGTTTTCCTCTTCTTTATCTCAGTCTTTTTTTTTTATTATTTTTTCTCTCTTTTTAACATTTGATATTTTATTGTCTAACCATTTTTTAAATTATCTATCTTTCTTTTGTCTCAGTTCTCCTCTTTCATATATCATAATTCCCCATATATAATACGCCTTTATCCATAATACAGATGCCTAAAATTGTACTGAAAGTGTGGGAAAATTAAACCCTATAAATTTTACCTCTCTAATCTCATTATAACCAGTCTTATTTTTTCAAAAAATGGTTTTAAATGCAGAATAATATTATTTTAATTTAGTTTTATGATAATTCTTATTTTATTTTATGGCAATTTTTTAAAGATTTTTTGTAGTTGTGCATAATACGCACCCCTGATTTTGATTATTATTTTAGAAAAAAATGCGTATTATACATGGGGAATTATGGTATTAAAAAAACCATCTCTCTCTCTCTCTCTCTCTCTCTCTATATATATATATATATATATATATATATATATATAAATGAAAACCATTTAGTGACAATATTGAATTTTAAAAAAAAGGAATACATTCAAAAGTTGAATAAATATTAAAAATAAGGAGGTATTTAAGTTAGAGAAAATTATTGGAAAGGAAGACACCATTAAAGAAAGAATGAAAAGGAATGAATGAATGTAATAAAAAAAGAGAGAAATAATGAAAAAAGAATGAGAGGAAGAATGAAAACAACAAGAAAGAATGAAAACAAGAATTGAAGAATACAAGAATTGAAGAATGAAAACAAGAATGAATGAATTAAAGAATGAAAACAAGAATGAATGAATTAAAGAATGAAAACAAGAATGAATGAATTAAAGAATGAAAACAAGAATGAATGAATTATGTTATTCCTCTTTCACTTACCCTGTCATTATCTTTATTTTATTTTCATCTTTTTTCCTATTTTCTCTATTTACATTCTTCTTTTTAATTTTCTTCTTTCCCTATTTTTTCACTCTTTCATTGATCTTACTTTCTTACTCCTTTTTTACTTTCTCTGTCTTCACTCTTTCTCTTTTTTCCCCCCAACCTTCTTTTTCTTCTATTCTAAATTTCTTCCTTATTTTCTTTGGCTTTTATATATTCTTCTCTCTCTTCCCAGTTTTCATATCTCATTTTTCTTTTTTGCTTCCTTTCATTTAACTTCTCTTCATCTATAAATTATTCTATTTTCATCTCTTTCATTTTCCTTCTTTTTCATTACTTTCGTCTTCTCTCTCACTTTTTTGTTTATTTTCTTCCTTTCCATTTTTTCACTCAGATCTTTATCTGATCTCTCTTTCTCTTTTTTTTTACCTTTTCTTTCTTCTTTTTCTTTATTTTCCTTTATTCTTGACTTCTTTCTTATTTTTATATCTTTATTCTCCCAACCATTTTACTTCAAGCTTTCATATTTTTCTCTTTTCTTCCTCCTCCATTTTATTTTTCTTTTTTTCACCCAACACAATTTTCTTCTTTCCTCGTACACTTAATTATTTCCTTCCCCTTGATTTTTTTTCATTGCACTTCCATTTCACTTCATTTTGCCTCCACTCGGTTTTTCTTATTTCCCCTCCATTTATGGTTTCTTCTTTTTGTCACCTTCATTTTTCTTCCTTAAATCTCCACTTTATTTTTTTCTTCCTTCCTCTTTCACTTGAGTTTTCTTTATTGTCCTCATTTTTTTTTCCTTTCACCTCCGCTTGATTTTTCCTTCTTTTCTCCTTCACTGAATTTTTTCTTCCTTTCACCTCCACTTGATTTTTTTTCCTTTCACCTCCACTTGATTTTTTTTTCCATTCACCTCCACTTGATTTTTTTTTTCCATTCACCTCCACTTGATTTTTTTTTTCCTTTCACCTCCACTTGATTTTTTTTTCCTTTCACCTCCACTTGATTTTTTTTCCCATTCACCTCCACTTGATTTTTTTTTTCTTTTCTCCCTTATTGGATTTTTTCTTCCTTTCACCTCCACACAAGTTTTATTTCCTTTCACCTCCACTTGATTTTTTCTTCCACTTGGTTTTTTTTTCTTTTCTCCCTTACTGGATTTTTTCTTCCTTTCACCTCCACTCGATTTTTATTCTTTCCCCTCCATTTATGGTTTCTTCTTTTTGTCACCTTCATTTTTCTTCCTTTCACCTCCACTTGATTTTTTTCTTCCTTCCTCTTTCACTCGAGTTTTCTTTATTGTCCTCATTTTTTTTCCTTTCATCTCCGCTTGATTTTTCCTTCTTTTCCCCATTCACTGGATTTTTTCTTCCTATTACGCCCACTTCATTGTCTCCTCCACTTGATTTTTTCTTTTCTCCTTCACTGAATTTTTTCTTCCTTTCACCTCCACTTGATTTTTTCTTCCTTTCAACTCCACTTTTTTTCTTTTTTCTTCCTTTTTTTTTTCACCTCCACTTGATTTTTTTTTTTTCCTTTCACCTCCACTTGATTTTTTTTTTCCTTTCACCTCCACTTGATTTTTTTTTTTTTCCTTTCACCTCCACTTGATTTTTTTTTTTCCTTTCACCTCCAATTGATTTTTTTTTCCTTTCACCTCCACTTGATTTTTTTTTTTTTCTTTCACCTCCAACTTGATTTTTTTTTTTTTCACCTCCACTTGATTTTTTTTTTTTTCCTTTCACCTCCACTTGATTTTTTTTTCTTTTCTCCCTTACTGGATTTTTTCTTCCTTTAACCTCCACTTGATTTTTTCTTCCTTTCACTGCCACTCAATTTTTTTCTTCCTTTCACCACCACTCAATTTTTCCTTCCTTTCACTGCCATTTGATTGTTTTCTTCTTTACTGGATGTTTTCTTCCTTTCACCTCCACTTGATTTGTTCCTGTATGGTTGAAAATAATTCATCACCCACAAGGCCGTGTGCTGTATCTCATCTGAAAGTAAACAGTCTCAGTATTTCAAAACTGGTCTAATTTTGTCCTGAATATTTTTGCATACCACATCTAACAAGTAAGCTGAATAGAAAGAGACATATATTAATAACAATGTTTCATTTTTTTTCATTTTACATCCACTTGATTTTATTTTCATCTCTTTTTCATTGTCAATTTTTTCTTCTCTCTCTCTTATTTATTTCTGTTCTTTCCTTTTTACACTCTTAACTTTTCTCAACCTTTTTCTCTTTCTTCTTCTCTTCCTTCTTACCAATTTTCAATCTTTTTCTTCCTACCACCCACACATTTTTCCCAGTTTTATAGCTTATTTTTATCTTACCCCCCGCTTTCTTCCTCCGTTTTTTTTTAAAGTTCCTTTTCTTTTCTTTTTCTTAAAATAACTCTCTCTGTCTTTCTCTCTCATCTTCTTACTTTCCCTTGCCCTAATCTCCTCTCTCTGTCTCATGCATTCTTTTCTTTTCCTCTATTTTTCTCTTTTCTTTCATTGAAACTTACTCAGTATCTATTCTTCTATAAAGATTTTCCAAAATATACATGGAAAAATATATCTTGAAGCATATTTTGCTGTTAAATCACAGATAGACACTTAAACACACATGTTTTCCTTTATGGAATCTTACAAGCTTGAGGCACTGGTGATACATATCAGCCAGTTAGTCTTTGACTTGTAGACTTTTCAAACTTCTTGTCTTTTTTTTATCCATAATCTCGGTCATATTTGGCTCTTTTTGCCAGAAAATTATGCAGTCTTTAATATTCTACTTCATTACACCTTAGACTCGTAACAACTGTGAATATAAATAGCTTAAAGCTCTTTGCTTTTTGAAATGTGGTGCTCATATAATCAAAACTTAACCTGTTGTAACAGAAACAAACGTATTGGATTTTCTTTGCCTTTTTTCTCTCTAAACTGAGACATATGATTGCATATATAAAATAAGTGAAAGACATTTAATTCAAGTGCTACAACACTTTTCTCTACACCTTCTGTTTTATTGCCTTACGGCCATATAACATTGTAAAACCAGTTCCTGTATAATCACCAAAGTTAAGCACTGTCGTGCATGGTCAGTATTTAAATGGGTGACCACTTGGGAATACCAGGTGCTGTTAACTCAAAAATATGGTTTGAATAAATAACTTATGGCCATATCATGTTGAAACACTGGTTCTCATATGATCACCAAAGTTAAGCACCGTCAGGCCTGGGCAGTATCTACAATGAGTGACCAATTGGGAATACCAGGTGCTGTTAGCTTGAAAATGCGGGTGGTGTGGCCATATCACATTGAAACACTAATCTCGTATGATCACCAAAGTTAAGCACCATCAAGCCTGGTCAGTATCAAGATGGGTGAATCCTGGGGAATACCAGGTGTTCTAAACATGGACATATCATGTTGAAACCCTGGTTCTCATACAATCACTGAAGTTAAGCAATGTTGAGTCTTGTCAGTACATAAATAGGTGACCACTTGGAAATACCAAGCTTAACATACAGGTGGTATAAAGAACTTATGGTCATATGACTTTGAAACATTAGTTTTCATATGAACACAATGGAACATACAAATATGAAAAGTTGCGGTATCTGTTAGGCTAATGGTTACCTTAATCCCATAGACTACAAGTTATTGCCTCCATCCTAACTCCATAAGATTGTAATATTAAATATAAATAGAGGTGGTTTATATGCAGAGTTGAGGTATCTGTTAGGCTAATGGTTACCTTAATCCCATAGACTACAAGTTATTGCCTCCATCCTAACTCCATAAGATTGTAATATTAAATATAAATAGAGGTGGTTTATATGCAAAGTTGAGGTATCTGTTAGGCTAATGGTTACCTTAATCCCATAGACTACAAGTTATTGCCTCCATCCTAACTCCATAAGATTGTAATATTAAATATAAATAGTGGTGGTTTATATCTGTTAGGCTAATGGTTACTCAAATCATATAGTCAAGATAAAATAATTTGTAGTCTAAGTCCATAAGAATGTAATATGAAATGTAAGTAGATATTTTGTTGCTAATTTTTTACCCAGATGGCATAGACTAGTAGTACTTGTACCTAAGTAAACTCTGTAATGCTGTAATATTAAATATATATATATATACATAGGAGATTTATATGTGAAGTATCTTGTAATCTAGTAGGCTAATGTTTATCTAGACGTCATAAACTGCTTTTATTTGTATCTAGCTCAATTCCCTAATAATATAAAATTATGATATCATTTTCATACTAATTTCTTCTATTAGTTCATTCTTTTCCAAATCAAGTTAAAAAAAAAAAATTTGAGAAAACCTTTAGCAATATTTTATTTTAATTTCTGTCTTCTTAAAAGGCTACCAAATCTTCCATCAATAAAAAAAAAAAAAAAACATACTGCATTTTCTTTCTATTTCAATTGAAAAAAAAAAAAAAGTTTTTACTTGACACCAAGTACGCCAGTCCGAACCACCTCTACTCAAATAATTGATCTTTTTCAGACTTAAAATGTTTATATCCTTGCTTGATGCTTTAAGTTGCTTGGCTAGTCGGCTGAGTGGCTAGCCAACTGACCGACTGGCTGGTTGTCCGACCGACTGGCCGACAGGTTGGCTGACCAGTGAGGTGGTTGCTTCTCTCTTCGTTTTGTCTGACCCCCACTTATTTCCTCGCCTATTGATTTCCCGACGGGATGCAGGGCCATCTTTGAAATTCTGTGCTTCGTCCTTCTCATTGATGGTGGCAGACACGTATCGTTGGCACATGTGTGCACAATACCAACGCAACCTGATATTGCTCCAGACAGCCATTTTAGAAACACCACATCTTATAGGATGAATCTTTTGTCCTTCTGTTTCTTGTACCATCTTTTTAGTTTTTGAATACACACACACACACACACACACACACATATATATATATATATATATATATTTAAAAAGCAAGAATAGAATTTTTTATGGAGTGTTTAGGGCAGACTGGTGTAACAGTAGGAAAAAATGTAAAAATAGCATAGAGGAAAAAAGACATACAGGCACGCACAATTTTATTTTATATAGATATTTTTATACAACAGTATCAGGATGTGTGGATGGTGTAATGGATAGCAACACAGAATGAGAAACTGGAGAGTCAAGTTCAAATTCCAATCAGATTTGTTACATTAACTTAGGCATAAATAACCTTGGAAAATTTTATGACTCAACTCATCCCCCCATATATGTGTTAAATAGCATACAGGAAAAAATCATTGCTAGTCTCAAAAGAAATTCAAATATATGTACACACACACACACACACACAAAAAATACTTACTTTTACAATCTGCTATAATATTTCAAATGTTATTTTTAGTAGATACCTTCATTTGAAACAGATGCCCAGCTTTTATTATTTCTTAAAAGCGTAAATAGACTGAGCAGTCTAAAGGACACTGGATTAAGCAGTGGTTTTTCTTCAAAAAGAGGAACACATATTTGAATCCCTGCCAGAGAATATATTTTCTTTATTAAGTTTATTACAGAGCAGAGAGATGTAATACACACTGTTTAAAATAATAAAAAAAAAACAGGACGTCTCTTTCAAACACAGGTATCCACTAAAAATTAATTTTGGCATAATTATATATAAGAGAACATTATGCATATACGAAAACATATATAGATAATAAAATAAAATGTTCACATGTATTTCTGAATCTTAAAATTTTCTTGTATTGTATTAATTTTTATATATATACATATATACTCTTTTAAGAATAGTATTTGTTGGTTATTGGAATTCATTCTGTATATACCAATCATATACTTGGAGATATATATATATATATATATATATATGACCAGATATTGTAGCATCTATTCTAACGTAATTTCAACGAAGAAATAAATTGAATAACATATGTATTTTTCCTTTTCTCCTCAGTAATTTTATAGTTTTTAAACTTAATAGTGAATAAATTTGGATTTTAAAATTGGCAGTTTTTGATTTTAATATCAAATTTTATCATATAATTTAGTAATTATTGGTTAGAATAAATTCTTTTTAATATTACCCATATTTTAAAGATCTGAATAGCTATTATAACATGATTTCATTGTCAAGCTTTTGAATCTTCCTATACTTGGGTTTTATTGGTCATTCTAGCTTTTGTAACAATGTTTTCCCTAGCAGAAGGATCGTTAATTAATTTGAGACATTTAAAACCATTTATTTTACATCCAACATCATCACTTGATAAGACACCTGATATTGTGTTGAAACAAAATAGGATATTTTGTAGTGATTTTATAACATATTATATGTTATATTTTTTTTTTTATAAAAATAATTATATATATGTGTGTATATATATATATATATATATATATATATATATATATATATATATATATATATGTGTGTGTGTGTGTTCCAGTGTAGGGTAGGTTAATTCAAATATCCAAACATTATATTTTTAATAAGTTCTCAATACAAAGTAGAGTTTAATAATTATAATAATATTTATTAACAATTATAACAAAAACATGTTATAAACTGCAACATAAACGCAATCATGTTTCAGCACTATAGGGGCTTCTTCAGACCACAACTGCCTTGGGCTTCCATTATTGTTAATCTTTTTTTACATGTGGATGAGTCTGTTATGCTTGTATTTTCTACTACTATGTTTCAGATGGAGTTTGGTTGGTTTTCATGTGTGTTTAAATGAGTTCTAACTATATATATATATTGTTTGTAGCAGATGTAATTTCAACGAAATAAATTGTAACAAGAAATTTCTTTTCTCCAATTTTATAGTTTTTAAACAGGCAGACAGGCAGTTTTAATATGTGTGTATGTGCATATATATCTCTCCAAGTACAGGAGGTTTGGTTGGTTTTTGAACTCTTAAAATTATTTATATTCCATTCAGCATCATCACTTGATAAGACACCAGAAGTGTCAAAACAAAATTGCAACTTTTGTAGTGATCTGTGATCTTATAACATGCATATGTTATAAATTTGTGTATGTATATATATATATATATATATATATATTGTTGTTCCCAATAATAGAAAAAAAACATGTTATAAACTGCTACATAAACCAATCATGTTTCAGCACTAATACAAGTTTTAGCACTTTGTTAAGATGAGTTCTTCAGACCATCACTGCCTTGAAGAAGCCAGACCCCCATGTGCTGAAACATTTTGTTGGGTATTTAAATTTTTATAAGTTGCAGTTTAATTTGTAAACTCTGTTATAACATATTTTTTATAATTGTTAATAAATATATATATATATATATATATATATATATTAAAAATTCAAATTTATAACTTATGCAAGTTATAAGATCACTACAAAAGTTGCAGTTTTGTTTCGACACTTCTTTTCAAGTGATGATGTCGAATGGAATATAAACAATTTTAAGAGTTCAAAAACCAACCAAGCCTCCTGTACTTATGTATGTATATATATATATATATATATATATATATATATATATACACACACACACACACACTACTACATGCCTGCCTGCCTATCTTGACAGCTCACGTTACACGTGCCCGTCCATAGCTCAATTAGGCCTCATTTAAACACACACAAAACCTATCAAACTCCACCTGAAACATACTAGTAGAAAACACAAGTATAATCGCCTCATCCACATGTAAAAAAGGATTAACAATAATGGAAACCCTAAATCTTCATTCATTCATATATATATATATATATATATATATATATATATATATATATATGTGTGTGTGTATGTATGTGTGTATATACCTGTGTTTTATATATATATATATATATATATATATATATATATATATATATATTTATGCATATAATTATGAGTGTATATATAGATACATATATATATATATATATATATATATATATATATAAATGTGTGCTTTAATGTATATATGCATAATCATGAATGCACACCACTATGAACACACACATACATACACATATGTGCGTTTATACATATGTGTATAATCATGTGTGTTAATACATGTGTGTATATGCATATAATTATGAGTGTATATACTACTATGTGTGTGTGTTAAATATTTGTATATACATATAATTATGAGTATGTGCACAAACACACACATAATTATGTGTGTGTATATATATATATATATATATATATATATATATGTGTATGTGTATATATTATTGTATATATTCATTAAAAAATGGCAGCATAAATAAATGTTCTTCCCGACCGAATCAATTTTTGGTTAGCTGTCTTCATCCTATAAAATATATTGGCAGCAAAAGGTCACACAGATCATCCGACATAGATACACAGATCCAGCCAAGCAAAATAAGTTTTTAAACAAAGACTATATGGAATAATTGTACACGTATGCATGTAT